ATCTTATAAATATACTAAGAGCCACAGAATTGTACACTCTAAAATGGTAAATTTTATGGCATCTTTTTAAATTTAAAAAGAAATGAAGTGCCCTGGCCAGGTAGTTCAGTCGGTTAGAGCATTGTCCAGATACACCAAGGCTGTGGGTGTCATGCCCTCTCAGGGCACATACGAGAAACAACCAATGAATGCATGAGTAAGTGGAACAACAAATCCGTGTTTCTCTCTCTCTTTCCCTTCCTCTCTCTAAAATCAATAAATTAAAAAAATTTTAAAAAACAAAGAATCAAGAAGGTGATAGGTATATTAGAGCTGCCTCCTCATAAATTGTATATTCCTAATTTCATTTATTTTACATAATTTCATTTCAAGTACCAAAAAGTGAAACTAAAACATATTTTGTTCCTTGAGTCTAGACATGCATTTTCTGCATATTCTCATAACCTCTTTCATACAAAAATCACTAATTGTTTAAACAATACTTGTAAAAAAAATAAAAACTACCTGTAAAGATCACTTGTGGTATTAACCCTGAACTCAGTGAGATAGGCAGGCTCCTTCCTGAGCCTAGCTGGTAGGAAGCCAAGAAACCCGTTAATTGCCCCAGTGTTTTCCCTTCTTCTCACAGCCAATTAGCAGTTAGAGTGAGGACATTGGTATCTGCAAGATTTACTTCCTGAGCTTAAATTTTGTTCCCTTTGCTCACACATGCACACTAACAAGAAGCACTGTCCTCTCTGATTTTCCCTCATATAAGTGCTAGAAAACACACCCCTGGGTGGAGATTTAATGAGATAATGAGACACGCCACACAAGAAAGAAACATGTAGTTCCACTGTGCACGGGCCAGAGTCCCCGGCTCTGCACACGTGGACGTCACAATTAGATGTTGTCTTTTCCAGCTCAGCTTCTTTAAAACTGTCCCCCAGCCTTTGTTCGGGGAGCAGCCCATTCTTCCTTTCCCTGTGCACCCTGTGCTTCCTTTCCCTGTGGAGAGGTGTAGTACACCTCTCCCTGAGAATGATTTTTTGGGGTGTGGTGAACTCTCTTATTTTCCTTCTTGGAAATTCCCAAGAACCCCTGATGCCAGTGGATCAGTGGATACCAGCTCCACTGTGTGGCTTTTTTTTTTTTTTTTTATTGATTGATTGAAAGAGAGAGAGGAGAGAGAGAGGGAAAAAACATTAATTTCATTGTTCCACTTATTTATACATTCACTGGTTGATTCTTGCATGTGTCCTGACCGGGGATCCAACCTGCAACCTTGGTGGTATCAGGGCAATGCTCCAACCAGCTGAGCTACTCGACCAGGACTGTGTGGCTATTTTTCAATCAGAGGGTATAAGTCTTAACCTTTACCTAGGTGAAGAAGGAATAAAATACACTCTAGTGGGTGTGCCATCAGAATCAAATTATAAACATGCCTTAAGCACAGGCATTCTTATTCACATGAAGTTGTTCTCATTCCTAAAGTACTATTCTGTTTCAATCCTGGGATAAATATAGCTTAAATATTTTTTAAAAATAGCTTGAAATTTAAGCCATGTTATTGTTGATGTGCAAGCTGACAGATGAGGCCATACCTCATTCAATTCCCTGGTTCATGCCTCTTTAAAATAAAGTGGCAAGGCAGGACAGTAAGAAGCTAGGGAAATTCCTCAACAAATGGAATAAGAGAACCGGATACAAAATAATTAAACAAGGACAAACAATTTGAGTAATTTATTGCCAGCTAATGAATCACAAAGTTTTATCTTCCCTAACCAAGGACACTCAGGAGCGAACGGTTGACATATTCCAGGCCGTCCTGGAGCAGAATGCCCTGTTCAACAACATTCTTTAAAAATAAAACTAACCGCCCTGGCTGGAGTGGTTCAGCGGATTGAATGCCGGCCTGTGAACCAAAGGGTCACCAGATTTGATTTCCAGTGGGGGCTCGTGCCTGGGTTGCAGGCCAGGTCCCCAGTGGGGGGTGCATGAGGGGCAGCCACACACTGATGTTTCTCTCCCTCTCTTTCTCCATCCCTTCCCCTCTCCCTAAAGAGAAACATCAACTTATTTTTCTCTAAAAATAAATAAATATTAAAAAAATAAAATAAGACTAATAAAAAAATAACCCTGACCCCACTATACACACATTTTGGTGAATCAGCATATCAAAGGACAAACCTGAATAGCTAATGAATATTCTGTTAAGACCCTCTCCTGAGGCCTCCCCTAAGATTCCTACCTGCTAAAGAATGGTGAGAGGCCTCAAGACAAAGACCCGCAGCACGGTCTCGGTCTCACCAAAGCACATCCACTGCTTGTACCTCTTTTCTCCTAAACTCTAGGGGCCCCCATGAGACTTGCAACCAAGGGAGCAGCAGGCGGTGGCAGCCCTTTCCAGGCTTACCCCCTCGAACCTGTGTCGAAGGCTTCCTTTTTCTCTGACTTTCTCCCTCTTGTTGCTTCTTCCTTAAACCCTTCCTTGGTTGCACGGTCTCAAGCTTTAATAAACATACTCTCAAAATCACCTGTAACTTTGTTGTGAAACCTTCCCTACACAAAGTCAAGGACCCACACACTACACCTGCCAGCTCCAGGTAGTGGGAGGCAAACCCACTCCAGGCCCAGAGCCTGACTGGTAACAATAAAACTGATGAATATTTGGACCATACATAACATTTTAAGTTACTAATGGCTATAAAATATTCTAGTTGGTTGTCACTGATTGGAGGATGCTAAGGACACATGACAAATAAATGCATTTGAGATCTCAGATTAGATCTTCGACCAGAGGAGGACATTAGTGGAAAATCTGGTGAAATCTGAGTAAGTTTGTGATTTTAGGAGTTTAGTTAATGGGATTGTACTGATGTTCATTTCTGTGGTTAATTACTATAGTTATGTAAAATGATAACATTAGTAAAAGCTAGGAGAAGAATATATGGGACATCTCTATACTTTTTAAGGCAACTTTTCTGTAAATTTAAAATTATTGCAAAATAAAAAGTTAAAAAATTCTACTTTGTGGTTAGAAAGAACCACATATATTTCTATACTTTGTCATAGTGAGACAGGCTAGTAAGAAGCTAGGAAAACTCCTGGGCAAGTGGGATGTGGAAACAAGACAAGAAAATTTAGCAAGGCCAGTTTGAGTGACTTACAGTCAGCTGGTGAATCGTAAAACCTTATCTCCCCTGACTGAGGATACTTAAAGATTTTATTTATTTGTAGAGAGAGGGGAAGTGAGGGAGAAAGAGAGGAAGAGAAATGTCAATGTGTGGTTGCAATTCCCAGGCATGTGCCCTGACTGGGAATTGAACCTGCAACACCTTGGTTTGCAGGCTGGCACTCAATCCAATGAGCCACACCAGCCAGGGCTGAGGACATTTGAAAGCAAATGGTTTATACCTCTCCTCCCTAACCAGAGAACACACAGTCTTGCTGGCCATAAACTTCTGGTGTCCAGGGAAGAGAGGACTGCTAATGCAGACGGAGAGATAACACCTGAAAAAAGGGAGCGAGCTTGGGAAGAAGCCACGTGACTCCCCTTTCAGCTCCTTGTCCCCTTCCTCTCAAGAGAAACAGCATGTCCGCACTACCCCTAAGAATTTCTGCCTCCTAAATTCCCACGTTTCCCCTATGTAAACTTGCTCCAGAAAGCTCAAGGGAAGGTGGGTATTAGGGTTTTTACCCACCACCTTCTCAGATTGCTGACCTCTGATATTAATAAAAGTGCAGTTATCACCCAATTCTTGTCTCTGCTGTTTGGCTGAGCGGTGACAGGAAGCACAACCCTGGACTCAGTTGCCCTCCAGTTTCAATAGCAACATACATGTTTATGGTATGATCTCTCTTGTGTGTAAACACGTGTACAAATGTGTCCCCCAAGAAGATACATTCAAATCCTATTGCTTTCAGTAGCTACAAATATGATCTTACTTGGAAATAGGATCTTTGCAGATGTGATTAGTTAAGGAGCTTAAGAAGAAATCATCAAGGATTGAGGGTGGGCCCTAAATCCAAGGACAGGTGTCTTTATAGGAGGAAAGGGACATGAAGATGCAGACACACAGGTACACCCAGGAGAGGCCATGTGATGTTGGAGGTGGACACTGGAGTGATCCATAAGCTAAGAAACTCCAGAAGCTGGAAGATACAGAGGATTCTCCCCTAGAGACTTCTGCAGGGGTCACACCTTGATTTTGGACTTCAGAACTGCACAACTGAGAGAGAATAAAATTCTGTTGTTTTAAGCCACACTGTTGTGGTGATTTGTTACGGCAGCTCCAGGGGACTAATACACCTATTTGGATCGTCTTTGTACCGAAAATACCCGGAGGGACAAGGTCCAATCCACCAGAAGTGAGGACTGGAACTTGGAGGGGGGTAGGGGGTGGGATAGAAAGACTGCTTTTACGTTACAGTTTATTTTGTATATGTCTCTCTTTTTGTGAAGTGTTTACAGGGTCTACTTTTCATCTGTTCAACAGCTTAGGCCTACACACACAAAACTAAGGAGAGCCCTTTTTGCCATTTTAACCAATTTTAAGTGTATGACTCAGTGACACTAGTTACATTCACAGTGCTGTTCAACCACCACCAGTCAATTTCCAAAACTTTTCACCATCCCAGAGAAACTCTACCCAATAAGCAATCATCTCCCCTTCTTCCCTCCAGCCACAGAACCCCAAGTTGTAAAAAAAACTCTGTGGATAACTTGGAACCCAGTACCTGCAATTGGCATCTGGCGTGGGGGCAAACCTGTGGGACTGAGCCCTTGCCCTGTGGGGTCTTTGATAACGCCTGTTAGTGTCTGAATTGAGTTAAATCAGAGGAAACAAAGTTGGTATCCACAGAGAGCCGGAGATTGCTTGGTGTGGAAAATCCCACACGCCTGGTGTCCAAAGTGTGGGTGTGTGACCATGAACATTGCAGAGGAGAAACAAAGTTGATTTTCCTTTTTCAGGCCCTGAGGAGGCCCCAGAAGAGCAGCCCTGGGTCTGAAAGGTGAACCAGGTCGAGTAGTCCTGGAAAAATGAGACAGGATAGTAAGAAGCTAGGAAAGTTCCTTGGCAAGTGGAATAGGAAATTGAGACTGGCCAAGCAATTTACAGCCGGATACAGAAGGTCACCACCTCCTTGGAGATGACATCCAGGCCTCAGTTGTGTTTCAGCTCCAGGCCCAGAAGAGCAGCAAAACCAGGGGGGCGATGCCAGGACCAACTGCACTGACTAGAGAGCCCCTGGGGATCATGACCCTTAAAGGGCACCCCTGGAGAACTGATGAATACTTTGCTAAAACCCTCCCCTGAGACCTCCCTGAAGATTCCTGACTGCAAGGGGAAGGACTCAGCAAGCATGAGCTCTCCCCCTAGGGAGCACCTGCGCCATTCCCTTTCCCTTCACCCCCCACTTCTTTCTTCACAGGCACTTGCCTCTTAAACCCTAAAGCCATGGGCAGCTGGCAGCTTGTCCCGAGCTGATCCCCTGAACCTGTCCCCTAAGACCCCTTTACTCTGACTTCCCAGTGAGCTAAGGCAGCCCAGACCAGGCTCTCCTGTTGCTTCTTCTATGCTAAGCCCTTCCTTGTTTCAGGGTCCTCAGCTTTAATAAATGTATCCTCATAGTCACCTGGATTCATTTTGTGAAATCTTTGCTGCACGAAGTCAAGAACTCACACACTACTCCTGGCCAGACCTACGCAGGGCCAGGTGTTCGTCCAGGAACAGAAGGGCAAGGTGGGGGCTGCTCGAGTGTGGGGAGGCCCCAGGGCTGGAGGTGTTGGCGCTGGGTGTCAAAGGACCCAGAATCCTGGGATTCAGGGCCTGGTTCTGAAAGAGTCAGGCACACCGTATGCACTCAATAAATATGTATTCAATTAATTTTTATTTTGTCCATACTTTGTTCATACTCAAAATATAAACCATGTATAGCAAGTTGCTTCGTAAAGTTCTTCAGCAAGGCAGGCCTCCATGTCTGGCTAGGGGATTGGAAAGGATTCCTGTCAATGAAATTTATTCTTGTTTTGCATCTGCAAGAGAAGGAGGGCAGGTCAGACAGGGCTCAGAGCTGACAATGGGAGGACAGTATGGGCGGCCAATTGGGGGGGCGCTGCCAAGCCTCCAGGCCAGTGGAGGGCCCCACTGCCTTCTCTGGTCTGAACTGTATCTCTCCCACACCCTCCCCAGTCCTCCTCATGCGCAGCCCCCACCCCTCATTCCTACACCAGCCCCAGACCTCCCCAGGTGCTGATCCCAGGTTTGCTCTGACCTCCTTCTTGAAGTATAGATATCCACCGATGCCGACGCCCAGAGCCAATGCAAACCCAGCGACCCACACTGCAGACCCTGTGGCCAACAAGGCCAGGCTCCCCTTTCCCTATATGGAGGAAGAATAAAGAGGGGAGACCTCAGTGACCCCAGGCTGATCCCACAGGATACAGACAATGAGGGGTCTATGGGGCTTCGGGTCCTGGCTGACAGGGTGGCTAGGAACCAGAGAAAAGAGGGACACACAAGATGGCCCCATCCCACTGAGCTCAGTGGGAAGAATGGGCTCCAAGGCAGATGCCGGCTCTGCTCTGCCCTCTGAAGTGAGCAGGTGGTAGTTGCGGGGTGGTTCCTTGGCCTCGCTGGGCCTACTTCCTGGGGTCGTGGGGATGGCACTCTCCACCCACTGGGCTGGAGGGAGAAAGCAGGGGACTGTCTGGAGGCACCTGGAGGAGTACTGGCCAGTGGAAGTGCTCACAGGCTGAGCTGGGCACACTACAGAGGGGCCTTCGGGCTCTGGGGTCCTTCTGACTCCCACAGCACGGTTCTGGCTGGGCCTGTGACTCCTCAGCAGGGGATGGAGTCTGAGGGGTCCCTGAGTCCCCTGAGAACTCCTGGCCTGTAGCTTGAGACACCCCATCCCAGGTGTCCTGAGGTCTTAGCCCAGAGGAAAGCAGTGGGACTCATAGGCCTTTAGTTGTCCCTGGGTGCACACTGCCAATGGAGAAAATGACCAGGGTCCTGTTCCTGTTCCAGTAGCTGGTGGCTGGGCATGGCCAATCCTGGCTAATTGTGATGGGGGGATATCTTTACTCACCACTGCGAAGAGCAGTACGCTTTTTGACGTCATCTTCTTTATTTTTTTAATTTCATTTATTTTTAGAGAGAGAGAAAGGAAGGGAGAAAGAAAGGGAGAGAAATATCGATGTGTGAGAGATACATCAATCAGATGCCCCTCAGGGACCCAGCCCACAACCCAGGCATGTGCTCTGATGCGCATGGAACCAGCAACCCTTTGGTTCACAGGCCAGTACTCAGTCCCCTGAGCCACACCAGCCAGGGCATGCCACCATCTTCTTAAGGTATCAGAGCTCACCCCTGTGGAGAAGACAACCCAAGTCATCTTCCCAAATGCTCCAATACCCCTAGGGCCTCTGGGATCTGCTTCTCAAAGTCAGAGGCCAGGCCTCAGCCTCACAGGGGTCCTGCCTGGAGGGGATCACCTGGACAAGAGACCTGAGGGTTTATTGCCCTGGAGCCCAGGCCCGATCTCTAGGGGTCTGTGGAGGTGCCAGGGCCCTGCTCTGCTTCAGGCTCAGGAGACTCCTCTGCAGGCCTGGGAGAGGAGTTTACCTACTCACTGCTTCTGGACTTTTGTCTGGAAGACCATTTCTTCTTTCTGCCCCAGCCTGCAGTTCTTCCAGGGAGGGGAGGGCTTTTTTTTCTTCTCTCTCTATAGTTATCTTGCTAGCTTTTGGCTCACTTGGGGCCTTATCCATTCATCTAGCTTTCGGCAGGCTCAGTGTTAGAACCTCACCCTGCCACCCTCTTGGCCAACGGGGGAGACTCCCCAGAGCTCCGGCAGACTGTTTTAGGTAACACCCCCACACCTCAGCCAATTCAAAGGTACACATTCCAAGGCCCAGATGTCTTGGCTAACCCTGACCCTCACCCTTTGTTTTCCATTGCCCCTTCTAGAAGGAAGACCTGATTCTTGCATGTAAATCATTTTCCTGCTCTACCTAAACCTCCCTTGGCTGAGGACCCCAGCCTCTGAGGCGAAGCCCTGTCCCAGATAACAAACCCCCTGTTAGATGCACACATTTTGGTGGAGCACCTACCTACCCTGGTCCCCCTCCCAGGCACCCAGCTCTCACCTTGGGAAGGAGGCCAACCTCTCTCCTCGAGGCTCCCTGTGACTCTGGCTGGTCTAGATCTGGAAATGGACTTGAGAGTGTGTTTCCTTGTCCCCTCCCTCTGTGCAACCATAGATGGACTGTTAGCAAAAGCAGTGGTTTCACCGAAATCACATGACATCTTTCTGAGAATGACTCATTCATTTGTTTCTCTTTCACCTTCTCTAAAGGAAATTCAGTTAAAATATAACTTTTTGTGAGACAACTAAGGACAACTGAGGGCAAGCAGGAGAAAACTGACACCAGGGAAGGCTTCCCACATGGCTGGTGCAGAGAGAATGTAGGTGAAGCCCCAGACAGCAGGGGCAATGCCAGGAGGTGGCAGGGAGTGAGGCCGAGGACTCCATCATTTTAAGTCGTTTGAAGAGGACCCTGAGCTTGCTGTGCAAATAGAGCTTCGAGTCCAGCCCTTGTGTCTAGTCCTTGCCCCACAGTCTGCAGCCCCCACCCTGTACTCATAAGCCCTGCAGCCAACATTTTTGGCAGAAGACCCTTCCCCTGGGAGCTCACTGCTAGAAGCCTTCAGTCCCAGAAGACTTTCTGGAGGAGGTGACACATGGCCTTGAGAGGGCAGTGACCAAGAGACATCCTGAGGAAGACCCATAGGAGGGGGCCTGAAGCCTCCTGGGGTCAGGTTCTACAGGGGAGGATGAAGAAGGGCTAGGGTCACTGACCCATAGAAAATAACAGCCAACCTCATCATCTGCCACCTACCCATTTGCCACCTACCACCCACCACCCACCATCCCTGTATCTCTGCATCTACCTACCTAGCTACCTTTGCTGAGAATGTCTATAAGAATATAGACATTCCCTTTTAATACAGTTAATTCAACTAATTGACAGTTAATTGAACTAATACCCTATAGATGGGCATTTAGGTTTTTTTACTTTTTTTCATATTTTGAAGTTGTGCCAACACTATACATACAAGAATATTTCTGTTGGCCCTTCAGCCTGCATGACGCTCTGGGGCTCCTCCAGTGAGCAGCCCCCACTGGGGCTCTGGGGCTGCTCTGCAGTGCAGGTCTGAAGGGTCTGGCTCGTTGGGAGAGGGCCACTTCCTATTTTATCATTTTATCATTTTTTTAAGAGTGTGGCATATTTTTTTAAAAGATTTTATTTATTTATTTTTTTAGAGGGGGAAGGGAGGGAGAAAGAGAGGGAGAGAAACATCAGTGTGTGGTTGCCTCTCACATGCCCCCTACTGGGGACCTGGCCCACAACCCAGGCTTGTGCCCCTACTGGGAATCAAACCAGCGACCCTTTGGTTCTCAAGCCGGCACTCAACCACTGAGCCACACCAGCCAAGACTCATTTTATAATTTTTAAGTGATGAGTTTTGATTAATTTTTTTACTTTTCAGCAGCTTCCTCTCAGCCCCAGTATTTTAAAATAAAAAGCAGCAAGTCTGGCCATCATAATTCATTTGAAATAGAATGTAAACTACTAACCTCTTCAAAGAGACTAAGTAAATCACCCTAATGTGGTAGGCACTTAGACAGACCTGAGCAGAGCAAGGACAGTGGGCCAGGTACAGGTCAGCAGGGTGGAAAGCACTGGGTGGCTAGCAACAGACAAAACTGGGTAAACAAAGACTTTGCCCCTGGGTAACCTATCCTCCCCCAGCATGTCACTGGTCATGCAGCTTAGACCCTCTGTCCTCTCATATCACTGGTCATGTAGTTCGGCCCCTCCCCTGAGCTTTCCTCTCCTGGTATGTTGCTGGTCATGCAGGTTAGAACCCCTTAGAGGAGGAACAAAGAAGAAGGCTGGAGAACAGCCCTTAAACATTAAGCCCCCGGGACAGTGAGGTTCTGACCCACATCAAATACATCTAGGCCTCATTGGTGTTTCAGCTCCAGGCCCAGATAAGCAGCAAAACCAGACAAGAGATGCATGGCTGACATCAGGACCAGATGCACTGACTAATGACCCCCTGCCCTGGTGCTGACCAATCAGCAGAGACTACAACCCTAAAAGAACACCCCTGGAAAGATGAATATTCTACTGGGATCTATCCCTGAGACCTCTAGATAAACACCCTCAAGTCAGAGGGCCCATGAGGCTCTCCCCCGCTCCAACCCCACACGTGTTTTCCTTGCCCCTCTCCTCAGCTTCAAGTGCCCCTTTGCCTCTGTAACTTGTTTCTTGATCCCATTTCTTCTACAGCTCACCTCTTCTACCTGTGATTTTATAAATAAACTTTCTTTTATAGTTTGAGCATTGACTCTGAATTCCTTTTTTTTTAACTTTTAAAAAAATTGATTTGACAAAGAAAGAAACATGATATGTTGTTCAACTTACTTATGCATTCATCGGTTGCTTCTTGTTGTCAAACTAAGAAATATTCAAACATGTAAGGAATTTTTGTGAGTTTGTTTGAGCCAAACTGATGACAATGCCAGGAAGCAAAATCTCAACGGATTGAGGAAATGTTCCAGAGAACGGCAGTTCTGCACCTTATTTTATACATTACAACTAAAGGAGAAAACGTAAGTGGGTTACATGAAATCCAGCGGTGATCTATTAGGAAGGTAGCACAAAGCAAAGCAGCAGGGAAACCTCTGGGATTCGGTAAAAAGGAAATGGAGCCCTGGCTGGTGTGTGGCTCAGTGGACTGAGCACCAGCTGCAAACCAAAATGTTGCTGGTTTGATTCCCAGTCTGGGCACATGCTTGGGTTGCAGGTCAGGTCTCCACTTGGGGCCCTGTAAGAGGCAACCAATTGATACATTTCTTGCACATTGATGTTTCGCTCCTCCTCTTTCTCCCTCTCTTCCCCTCTCTGTAAAAATAAGTAAATTAAAAAATAGTAAAATGATAGATGCATACTTCTTTTACATAGGTGAATACAGGGTAGTTAACAGTCAACAATGAACTCAGTAACAGTAACAATGAGGTGACTTGTGGTCTCAGGAGAGTGGTTCATCTGCTCTGAGGAGTCTGGGATAAAGGAATTACTTTGACATTCCAGAGTTATGTTATTGTAGATGCCAGAATGCAACAGACAGGCTTAGTTTAGGTGAAAATTGACTTTTGTCCAGGAAGATTCTAGCCGAGGACATGATTGCCTGCCATAAACTGCTTTCAGTTTAAAAGTTTAAGTTTCAGGCAATCCTTTGTGGTTACCGTAGGTCTCTGAGTTTGTAAGGTTGTTACCGAACACAAGGGGAGGGGGGCAAAGGCAGTGTACTATTATCGAAAGGAACCCCCCAAGTTTGTTATGTCAGCTGCCAGAGGAAAAAGGTCTCTCAATGCCAGAGATTCATGAAAAGGAAAGGAAATGTTTATTTAATGCTATACAAACTTAAAGTAGTGACCTAATGTCTTCATCAAAATCCCAAAGTCCCTTAAAACACCCACAAACACACACAGTCCTTCCTTCCCCCTTTGCCCAGCCTAGGGTACCGTATCTCAGGAAAAGAAATAGAAGTCTGTGGCTCAGGCAGCCCCCAGTTCTTCTCAGTAATCCGTCTCAGCTGGTAGGACTCCCTCGGTTTCCAGCACCATCAGCTGTGTCGCCGGGATCTCTGCTAAAGCCGGGTGGTGGTTTCCCCTTCTAAAGCTGCGGGGGTCCCCACTCTGCCAAAGCCACGTGGTTCTTCCTCCAATGGCCGCTGGGTCTCAGTTTAAATCCCTGTGCCAATCTTCCTCTACAGCCCCTTTTCCAACTCCTCCTACAATCAGTTACACCTGCCAGTGTTACAGAACACAACAAGGGGGGCCTGCGACGATATACTATTATTTAAAGGGCCCCCTCATGTCTGCCGCCCAAGGAAAGACGTCTCTCAATGCCAGAGATTCGTGAAAAGGAAAGGAAATGTTTATTTAATGCTATACAAACTTAAAGTAGTGACCTAATGTCTTTATCAAAAATCCCAAAGTCCCCAAAACACCCACAAACAGACACAGTCCTTCCTTCCTTCCCCCTTTGCCCAGTCCAGAGTACCGTATCTCAGGGAAGGAAAACGAAGTCCATGGCTCAGACAGTCCTCTGGTTCTTAGTTAGTCCTCCATCTCGACTGGGAGACCTCCCTGGGTTCCCGGCACCCTCGGCTGAGTCGCCGGGGTCTCTGCTAAAACCAGGTGGTGGTTCCCCCTTCTAAAGCTGCGGGGGTCCCCGCTCCGTCCAGGCTTCGTGGTTCTCCCTTTCAGGGCTGCGGGAAGGGGAGAGTCCCCATTCTGCCAAAGCCGCGTGGTTCTCTTTCCTAAAGCAGCACGGTTCTTCCTCCTCTCAATGGCCGTGATCCTCTCTGCACCTCCACAGCCACATGGTTCTCTCTTAATGGCCGCCAAGTCTGGGTTTTAAATCCCCGCGGCCAACCTTCCTCTGCAGCCTCATTTCCGACTCCTCCCACACTCGGCTTCACATGCCAGAATTCATATCCTTCCAGCTTTACTGGGCTGCCATCTTGAGTCTGGGCAGGTGTGGCCCCATGTCCTGGAGCCAATCTTCTCCGAGCTCCCACGCAGGCGCTGTAGCTTGGGGGGGGATCTGCCCCAGTCTTGCCTTGGTGGGGAAGTTACTTCCATTCCCCTGGCTCAGAGATGATCACAGCTATTTAACATATCTAAGCGACCAGCCAAAGGCTATAGATATGTTAAATGACCACGCCAGAGGGTAGCTGCAAGGCTGTTGCTATGCAAAACAGATCTCAATGGCCTTGCTCCATTTGTCCCTTCCCCCAACCCACACCCTGGGTGGGGGGGGATGGAGACATCTTAAAATCTCCTGGACACCCTAAGTTCTGGACCCCATTTCAAATGCCCATTTGGGGTCCCCCCTCTTGGCTGCACCCTGTAACACCAGCACTCTCATATCCTTCCAGCTTTACTGGACTGCCATCATGAGTCTGGGCAGGCCGGGCCCCATGTCATGGAGCCAATCATCTCCAAGCTACCATGCAGGCGCTGTAACTTGGGGGGCCCTGCCTCCCAGTTACATCTTGGGGGGAAGTTACTTCCATTCCCTTGGCTCAGAGCATGGCCACAGCTATTTAACATATCTATGGAACCAGTTAAAGGTTATAGATATGTTAAATGACCACACCAGAGGTTAGCTGCAAAGCTGTTGCTATGCGAAA